AAATATATAAATCATATGAACATACATGTTCATATGATTACATACAACATGTTGTATGATCTTAAATTCACTTAGTGCGAAATCGAGTTGTCCATGGTTATTCTACTACTTGCGCAATTTCTGCAAAGTAAGTTAATAATAATTTAATTACTAAAGAATATTGATTATATTATCTCCCAAGATTAATTTTAGTAGAATTATCTTAAAAGAGTGAATCCATACCTAGTTCGAAAAATGTTTTAAAGTAACTTGAAATGTAAATGTTAAAAATGTTTAAGGGGACTTGAATTAACTCCTGATAACAAAATATCAATTGTGAAAAGGAAACAAATAACAGCCAGTAGTAATTAACATGTAATGCAAGTATTGATCGGAAATTAGTGGACTTAAGGGGAACACAAACAACTCCCGTTCAATGTGAACAATAATTAAGAAATAAATACGAAGGTGTTTCGTCCTTTTACTCGAGCAATAGGCGCGATAATTTATTACTTGCTTTAATTTGTTTCTTTGTACAATTGAAATTTTGTTTTGATGATTGAAATTCAAAATCACGTTTTAAACATTTACAATTTTACATTCAAGTGACTTAAAAAATTTTTCGAAATTGAACTTAATAAGGTATGGATTCACTTTTTAAGAAAATTCTACTAAAAATTAATCTTGGGAGATAATTAATCAATATTCTTTAGTAAATAAATCTTATGAACATACATATAGTGTAACTTTACAAAAATGGGAAGTAGGCACATGCATTGGAAAGAGTGTACAGCCATCAAACACATTAGATGTAAATTTCTCGCAATGTGAAAGAAGCTCTTTCACGAGTGAGTACCTTGTACAATTATAAGACATTTCTCTCTTCTTCCTGCATGCCTTCGTGGTGTAATGATAACCTACTTGGCGCGTATTCGAGAAGTCCAGGTTCGATTCCCAGGGACATTGTCCATTTTTTATGTTTCCTACTTCAAAGAAACCCTAATTACTCTAGTGACACCCTAACTAAAAGGGTGGTGGATGATGATTCTTCACCAGCAAGATTTGACGATTGGGTCCCCTAATCCGCAGGGATATATGAGGTAATTTCTGCATTCCTTCGGGTTGTAACGGTAGCACTCTCGGCGCGTCTTGAGAGGTCTAAGTTCGACTCCTGGCGAGGGCATAGCTCGTTTATCACGTCTCCTGCATCCAAAAACCTGATGACTCTACACATGAAACCATGTTTCCGATGTTATTCGAACTGGTTTTTATATAAGGCGAATGTGTGTGCGGTGTACGAAGTCAGCTGATTTAGGTCATCTGTAAGCACAAGTTTATTCGCGAAACCATCTACCTCCAGCTTATCTTGCAAATTCTCACTGAAAGCTTTACGTAGCGGTATATTAGAAGGTTGTTAACGCCTTCACCATTTGAAAAGTGTATGGCCGGAGTGGAAGATGGTTACGTAACTCTCGCCACACCCTTACATAAGGCACCATTGAGTTGAGAACTCGCACGACTCATTGATTTTGTGGAACTTCGTTAAAAACGTTTCACAATTTTTTTCCACCACTTCGGTTTTTGCTGCTGTTTGTCCTTGGCTGGTTTTTTTACACAAGCAGTCCGTTGGCTGTTGTGACGATGTGGTGGTTCTTTACCGAATTTCGCGCGACGGCGATTTCGTTACCTGACGATTTTTCGTTGTTGCCAGATGACGTTTGTATAATTATAGTTTTGGAATTGAGATGTTTCGGTTTAATAAATCAATTGCAGAAGTTGTACTGTAGTATTCCTTTTGTCCCATTCAATATGAAACACCCCTGTATATATGAAAGCAAATTCAAAGTGTTAATAAGTTAAGAATATTAGAGTTCCTTTATTTTTAAACTAGTCGCTATGCGGCCAGCCTTCCTCTGGCTTTTAAATGTACCGAAAAACAAATGTCGCCTCGACAAGCGTCAAGTATCCAAGAGAAACATTAAATTTAAAAACTGCACGGAATGATCACCTTCATTTTTCCAACAGTGCTGACATCAGCAACAATGGCTGCATGCCATTGTTGGCATTGTTGCTACGTGCCATCGATTCGATGCGATTTTATCAAAAAACATAAAATGAAAAAAACTCCCCTTCGAAGTGCATGATTTTGGTCGGATGCCACATGTACCAAATTTGTAGACACGTGTCTATTATCTTACGCGAGCTCGAACGAAAGACATCACAACAGACAAACTTTTCCTTTTGTTATATGGGCTCACCAGCGGCCGAGCGGTAAAGTCGCTGAACACTGGTAGTTCAGTCCTAGGTTCGAGTGCTCATTCGCTTGCAGAATGGACGTTTTCGTGGGTTTCCCCATGTGTAACGTGTATACGAGCCAGTTTCCCTTAGTAAGTCCTCCACGAGGACATCTCTCCCCTCAGGCAGATAGCCCTAGTTTGCTTTGCCATATTTAAATAAACCAAAAACCAAACCAAACCTTTTATTATATGTAGATAGTGTAACAGACTATCGCTTTATTATTATTGGTTACTAAAAGTTTTTGTTTCAGTGCTATTTGATAATAATGAAAAAAATGGTAAATGACTTATTACAGTTATATTTTGTCGTTGTGTAAAATTCTGGTTACAAGAAGTATGTTTAGAATGGCATACTTCAGAATAATTTGTAATAAACGTATTTAATAAAGGAAGGGGAAATAGCCGAGCTATAAAGGAAACTTGAGGGATTCTGCGAGTAAAATTTTATATTACTTATACATGTCAAAAATTGTTTACTTGTAGGTTAAACATCTGTTTCGGGTTTTGATTTTTTTATGTTAAAGACGGTAATGGATGTTCCAAGCAGTGTAAAAAGGTATTCAAAGAAAATACGTTACTATTACATGAATTATGTTACTGTAATAAATTTAAATATATTCTTCCAGATTAAAATTTATCTCTGTGTAGTTTATTGTTAAACTGTCATTTATTGGTTCAGCTGTCTTGTCAGAAAAGCAGAAAATGCTGAGACAGAAATTCATTTTTCAGGTTCTTTACTGACAGCTGAGTCACCTATCACAGCAATAAAAATATGCATTTATAAACGAAAACATTAACGATATTTCGGATATTATTTCGTAATACACGTGCTTGGATAAGCTTTAAATTTTTTCCATTGCTGTAAAATTACTGTGATTATTAATGTTACTGTTGCCAGAAATTTTTCAAAATTTGAAATCCCTAAGTTTATATACAGTGTCTCATAAAAGTGATGGGACACTTGTGCTTTACAAAAGGAAACTGTAATAAAATAAATTAAAAAAACATGTAAAAATGTTTTGTGGGTGTTGTTTCCTACTTAATTAACAATTATTACAATAACATAAATTTTCTCACAAATATTAAAATATATTTATTTAAAAATACAATGTTTAAAAACGAGCAAAAAAATGGCTCACATAGTGATGGGACACATTAGATCTACTACGTACTGCAATAAAAATATTTTTTGGGGTTTTTATTTTACTCAGAACCAATTGGCAGTAATTTATAAAATCGTCTGCAGTATTTCTCTCCAGTTGTTTGGAATTTTGTGTTTTTAGCTTGTGCAGCATGACTGCTAACCGAGAAGAAAATTTGCCGGAAATTGAAAATTAGTTATCAATTGGGCATATTGAACGTGGAAAATCTATTAGAGAAACTCCTGAAAACAGGTTAACTTAGAGTTCATTCAACAGTGACAATATTCATTAAACGATATTAAAAGAATCATATTGATTCAGGCTAAAAGAAGACCTGGCGGACCATCAAAGCTATCCAATGGAATAAGCGAATTATCGTTCGAAATATTAAAAAAAATCCAAGAATGAGTGCGCCCCAAGGTACCTGTGATGACAAGCATTATATTGGAGTAATGGTTATTAAAACCTGAGATATGAGAAGAGTATCGATCGGCTGGATATCACGTAGAGCGCAGGAAAAAATTCTTCGAAGTGAAAAGAATAGAAAACTCAGGACTGGCTTTCGCAAAATCCAACATAAAATAAGAATCTGATATTACTGGAATGATTTATTTTGATGATGAGAGTAAATTTAATCGATTTGGTTCTGGCGGTTTAGATCTGGTGTGGAGAAAACCCAGGGAAGAATTTCGCAACCAGAACTTGGTGCCAACGAAAAAATGGTGGAGGAGGAGGAGTTATTGTATGGGGGGAATATGTCGTACGCTGGAGTTGGTATCTGTTTGTATTGACAGTAAATGGATCAGTACAAGTATGTTGACAATTTTAAAATCAAATTGAACTTCTTCAGCGCGAAAAATTGAACTTTCATAAAGATTTTTTAAATTCTACAGGACAATGACCCCCCGCACACTGCTTTGAACGTTAGACTGGCTGCTTGTTTATAATGTTCTTGAAATAATAAAAACACCCACCACAATCTCCAGACTTAAATACCATACAGACTATTTGGCAAAAGAATGTGGAAATCCAGAATTCGCAAGCACACCATTTCTTGAAAACACAATTAAAATCGTTGCTTTGCTTCAAGAAGATAGGAAAATCACCCAGAAAAATCACAAAAAAAATTAGCGAATCCATCCCAAGAAGATTAAAATCATGTTTTAAAAGTGAAAGGAAGTCCAACAAAATATTAAAACCTTTAAAAAGTAAAATTTGTGGATAATATTTGATGGAAAAAAGTAAGTGTTCCATCACTTATGTGAGCATTTTTGCTCCGTTCTAAACAATTGATTTTTATTAAATTAAATATTAATTATTTTGAGAAAATGTATGTTATGTAATAATTGTTACTAAATTTAAGTATGAAACACACCCACAAAAAATTTTTACGTGTTTTTTAAATTTATTTTACTACAGTTTCCTTTTGTGAAGCACAAGTGTCCCATCACTTTTGTGAGACACTGTATTAAAGGCGTGATATTCTTGCATCGGGGGGAGGGCTAATCTTTATTTGCATATAATGAGTCAAGATGACGTATTACACCCATTTGATAGTAATGACATAAGATGAATTTTATAGGTCCTGCTATGGTGAGACGATAGAATGTGAGATCATGCAGACGATTACCTAGTCTTCTGTTTTCTTACAAGTGACTTGCACATCCGGGAACTCACCGATCTAGACCTTAACTTCAAAAGACTGGTGATATTTTAATGCCATGTATATCCAAAAATCATGATAATACACCAAAAAAAGTCTTAGCTCTCTGCTCTAGGGCTGGACCTATAACAAGTAGGTCCTAAGACTGAAAACGAAAAAGTGGAAAGAGCCAGTGACGAGGCTACGTCTCAATAACTGATTCCGAGCACCATCAACAAAATCTATAACTCTTCAAAATACCAAACGCACTGAATGGAGCCCATGAACTTTATTTACAAACTGCGAACTGAAAGACTGTGGACTGTCTCACTTGTAACAAATATTCTCACATAACAAGAACCATGCATTCCAGTATATTAGCAAATCCCCTTTGTATTATCTACTTACATAAATATCAGATGTGAAGACAAGACTACCTTCTACGGCCTGTTAAACAATGCAACTTTTTTGCTGCACGTTATTTAAACTTATTTCCTAGAGTTTCTACGCAAAAACAAGCATTACGCCTGTGAGCAGGAAGACAAAATTTTCGGGGCAGAAAACTGAAAGTTAACTTTTGGTCAGACTGGGCATGTTACAGGTGACGAGGATGCCTGGTGTCTAACATAGGTAAACAGGCGTATGTCCCACGTCCTTCCCTGTGTAGCGGCAACAAATCCCTGGAGCCCCAAGAGGCTGCGTCGGGAGTTTATAAATACATGAAAAAGGCTGTTCATGGCCAGACAAGGCCGCAACATGTAAGGGCAAAAAGACATTGACGTCGGTGACTTTATTCTACTAAAAGTACTACTTAACTACTTAAATTTTTTAAACTGTTGATACTTTTACAACTATTACATGCAGATTAAATAAAGGCATAAAAACTTTAATCGGAACATAAGAACAACATAATTGTCACTTTTACAGCAAAAAATGCACAATTTGTAGATACATTAGGTTATTTTATTATTTTTGCTTTTATTATTTTTTGAAAGCAGGTGAGATGAAAAATGAGCAACACCTTCGCCGGGAATCGAACCATGGACCTCTGCAATACCCGCCCAGCGTGCAGACCACCACACCACGAAGGCTCGCTACGAGGGCGGGAGAAACACCTTACTATATACTTCCCCTTTTAAAGGGCGGCTGGAGTTCTTAGGGGAACAAATCGCCGTATCCTGGGCGTAGAGAATCACCATCCACCACCCTTTTAGTTCGGGCGCCACTGTAGAGACATTAGGTATTGTTTTGGAAACGGGAAAGATTAGAAATTAGCAACACCTTCGCCGGGAATCGAACCACGGACCTCTGGAATACGCGCCCAGTGTGCAGAGCACCACACCGCGAAGGGATGCCAAGAAGGCGGGAGAAAGAAGAGCTGTTGCACAGTTCTGTCATTACTATTATCCATTGTCTGAAAAATGCGATATGCTACGAGAATAGTAGGGTGTTATTGACCCTTGGATGGTTAATACCTTCGCCAGATTATTCATCAAGAAATAAAATTCAGCGAATATTAACCCAATGAAAGGTTACCATATTTTTTTTACTAACCTGCTCCTCATATTCTTTGGGCAAATCATATTCTTGCAGTCATGAATGTCCAAATGGCAGAAAGCACTCTGAATGGCTAAAGAAATCAACCTAAAGTAGCTTCTCCGTACGAACAGATGTCACGCAAAAAAAAAATCGTTCAAATGGCTTCGAGAGCGTTCAAAATGGATATTTTTGTTGAAATATGATACCCGAAATTTTTCGCGATTTCTTCACTTCGTACAATGAAGTAAAAACCCCAGCGCAATGATCTCTAAAGCATCGACTCTATTGTATGTACGTAGTCTAATACTGTAATAAGTGTACTCAACAGTTTGTGTAACGTAACTTTGCCTAATTTTATGTTATCATCCTCTTATTCTTAAATATGATAACGCCAATGAACTCCAATGTTCCTTAGGAGACAAATCACACAGTCAGTTCCAATTCTTCATTCTAAAATTTTACTCCCTACCCCCGATCCCTTTGGAATAGTCCCATCCAACGTCCATTCCTACCAAAACTTCTGCGACTTCGTGTGGTTTTAAAACTCAACGTGTTTAATATATTGGCGCAATACCTGATCGATTCTGTAGAGAAGCTTCTGCTGCAGTGATATCTTCTTAAACGGTTAATTAATTATACGTAATATCAGAGGAAAATCACTGGCGTTTCATCTCCTTGGTGGAGGTTGATGGCAATGTGTCAACATTTTTTTTTTTTTTTTTTATTTTATTAAAAGAAACACAAGTTCCCCATGTACCACATAGTATCACATGGGGCTTACAGAAGTAAGTTAAAAAAAAAAAACACAATACAAACTAAACAGAGAAAATTGAATAAATTAAGGATGATTACAGAGTGTTACAATGAATTGACAAAAAGTGTTAAAACACTTCTCTCAGAAATAATTGGTAAAACTCGGAGCCAGTTATATTAAAAATTTTCAGTCCCAGTTTCAGCTTTTCTTTGCTCTCAATTTAGGACATATAAGAAGCACATGTTTCTAAGTCTCCTCGCCGCCGAGGACACAGTCACAGGCAGACTCGGACTCACTTAAATCGTTCAATACTTTTAAAAATTCCCATTCCAGTAAGAACTGGGTTAGTTTATAATTGTGAATAAATGATGACCGACAGCTCTTTAATAGAAGGTAAAAATCTTCTAGTTAAACTCCTTTATTGATTAATGAATCGTGATTCACGATGCACAAGCTTCATACTGACCTCTTATAGAAGAATTGGGGATATGACAAAAGTGTCAATTTCCCGCTTATCGCGTCTTAGCAAGGACTCGGCTCGTTGTTCCCAACAACACCCGTATGACCACGAACAAATGAAAATGAAACCGAACTATTTTATCCTTAGATTTTTCATTCTTTTGATCCGTAATGATATTATTAGAAGAAGAAATACATTTTAAGTCTCCAAGGATAAAGGAATCATTACATGAGATATCTGAAACGCACTGTTTTGTTTAGATACCCATTTGCGCGAAGTTATGCACAAAATTCAGCTATAAAACATATATTCACTCGTTTCTAATGAAAGTGCTCACAGTCAAAACCTTTTTGAAGCAACACCTGCGATACCACCCTTGCCATCAATTTGCTGCCATCGTAATAGCAAGTTACAACAGGCGAATCCTCTACGATTTTATTGCTAAACTGATAAATTAACATATCTTTCGAAGGATGAGGGAGATCAGATAGAGTAATATACAATCATACTGAAGACAGGAGAAGAGACTATTTTTCCTTATAATCAATAGCTGAAGATGGCAATGTCAATCGGAGGAAAGCCCGAATGCATAAACAGACTCATACTTAGGTACATATCCACATATGACCCCAGTAGTACCGCTTTGAACACGTCGTAAATATCTATAATTTATCTTCTTCTTGAGCGATATACCCCAGACTCAACAATGTGTCAACAATGGAGACAAATTTCAGGGTATGTTGATAGCGTGATGTCCTATTTCGAGATTTCCCGATTCAGGCTTTCAGAAGTTGGCAACGATAATCGTGTCATTTCAGTCTTTTCTTTCCCCTTCTACTTTTGTTCTGGATTAGAACATCAAAAATCGTTCCTTTTTAAAAAAATCCGTTTTCACACTTTATTATTGCTGTAGAGAAATTGGAAAGGAAAGAGCAGGTATTCAAAGAAACAAGCTGGGCTAAAGCTGGTTATCGTTTCATTTAAGACTTTGCGCCCAGTTTTAATTTTATCTGTCAAGGAAAAGAGAGTCGCCCCCCCCCGCATTCTGAAACTAGATTTTGGGGAATTTCAGGAGGTAAGATTGCTACGGATTGAATGCTAGTCAAACTCTCTTATATCTTTATTTGTGTGTTTCAATGTGATTTTTTTTATATTCGATGTTTCAATTTTCACGATTTAGAATTCTGTTTTAAGAAAATAGTAACACTATATCCTACTCAAATTATGAAAACATCTTCCCCCCCCGTATTAAGTATAATCGCGAATGTCATTAGCATTTTATTTAAACAGCATCTAACATTAAGACACAATAACACGCCGAATAAATACTAATTCAGAAGTCAAACAACAAAAATCAGCGTATTATTAATCAAGCAGTTAAAAAATTCTCATCTCAACACCCTATAAGGCACACTCTTGTTTTAGGAGATTATAAAAATTCTGTTGTCATTCCCTTCTTTCCATCATAGCTATAAAGTTGCACATATTTTGCAGAAATTTAACTTTCGGGTTGTTTATTCTCCCATCAAATAAAATTCCAACTTCTACTCAAACCCCGATATGAATTCCTGGGGTATTTATAGGATTCCTTGCCAGTGCGGTTAATTTACATTGGCCAACTAAGAGAGCTTAAAATTTCGCGTCAAAGAACATAGGCATATGTTAGAAAAAAGGAAACACAGAAGTCTTCTGTTGCTCAACATTGTTGGTCCGAAAATCACACTTTCAATTTTTCTGCTGCCAAATTATTCAAAAACATCTCCATTGGAGAACTGGAATTTTCTAGAGGCATTTCACATTCAAAAAATCTTTCTGTTCTAGTTACGATCCTAATTCCAATCCAATTTGCCTTCGGCTTTTAGAGAAATTATGTTTTAGTTCTGGTTTCGCCAACAGATGGCGCCACTTGCTTATTCTTGTCCAGGCTTTTCTTATCTTATCTAATCATTATTCCTATCTTGTTCATTTGCGTTTTGCAGCTGAAAGATGGTTCGGAAAACCATCGAAACTAGTCCTGTGAAAATTTTGTAAATTAACGCTGATTTTTGTTGTTTGACTTCTGAATTAGCATCTAACAGTTTAAAGGAAGAAGAGTCTGGTGACATCTCAGTCACGTGACCCCTATCGCGGCTTCGGATTTTGCGGACTCTGAATGAAGTGAGTGAAAAATGGGAATCCTTCTTACCCACCCCATCATGAGAACTCGAATGGTGCGATTTTCAAAAAAGCCTCAACTGGGAAAGCCTGAAGTGGGATATACTCTGTTTAGAGACATCAGGTTGGTGTATTTGGTGTATTTAATTACGGCAAAGCACACTAGGGCACACACTGCCTAAGGGGAGGGATGCCTTCGTGGAGGACTTTCTAAGGAAACTGTCTTGTATACACGTTACACATGGGGAAAACCACGAAAACACCCATGCAGCCAGCCCGTTCGCGGGATTCGAACCTCGGACCGAACTACCAGCGTTCAGCGACTTTACCGTTCGGCCGTTGGTGGGCCTGAGAGACATCAGGAGAATGTAATAAATTGTTTGTAAAAAATAGGAATAGTTATCAGTGTTAAACTTCGGGTAAAAGTGATTATTTTTGTCCACGGCTATTTAGATAACATCAAATGATGAGGAAAATTATCCTTCAAATTATCAATGGAATTTAATTAATTTAGTATAAATGCAAATAAAAAAAGCACTGTTGTTAAGTTAGAA